TTCTAGTTGCAAATTAAAGACGTTCTTGACCTTGCTCTCTTCACTCGGAGGCTTCCAGGAGCCACCTCTGTTTCCGTTTCTCAACTGCCCCTCCTCTGCCTCGCTTGTTCCTTAGACATTGCACCCGTGCAACGTAGAAATCCCAAGATTCCTTCCTTCTGGCTCCTTTCTGTTATCTGCAGGCTACCAGTTTGTGTCATCACCTCTCACTAATCACTACCCCGTGCAGAAGTGCCTGCGGGTCACCTCCACTGAGGCTCTCTGCCACCACCTCAAATTCAGCTCAACCAAGCATCAAATTCGCCACCTTCCTTAGAATATCCAAAGCGATTTAAAAAACAAAACCAAAAACCAATTAGATGAAAAAGAAGTGTGGTGAATTGCTGGGTGCTAGGTAGTTATGTAAAAAAAAAAAAAATCCTCAAAACATGTCATTTTTAAGAATTTCTATTTCCAGTTGCTACAAAAATATAAAATACTTAAGATCAATGAGAGTTAATGCTAACCCACCAAAGTGCTCTGTTTCATGAGTTCTCTATCATTCACCCATCCATTCATCCATCGATCTACCCACCTGTCACTTATAAAGTCCGGAGCTGTGAGAACACGCTCGCATTCCGGAGGAGCCCACTCCTGGTCTGGGGGGCCAAGGGAAGGGGGGGGATCACGTTAGTGGGTGGTCGCTGTGAGAATGACGCGTGCTGTTGTGTGTAAAGCCTGGCACAGGAGCTGTATCAGATGCTGGAGACTCGCTCACTGTTGCTTCCCAGCCTCCCCTGCTGCGGGTGCTTCTGCCCCCTGGAAACAGGACCTGTAGGCCAAGTTCACTTTGGGCCTGAGCCAGCTGACCGTGGAATACTGCTTTCCTGAAGACAGCAGGCAAGGTCTGGCCGCCCTGTTTGATGTTCCTACCAATGCTCCTGGTCTTACTGGGAGATCAGGCTCCTGGCGTCGACCTGGGTGTGTGCCCTGCTTTGCCAACACCCCTGGAGTGGGAGGTAGGGTTACTGGTCCAGGCTAAGCCCAGGGAGACAGCTAAGGGCATTCACCAAGCCCACCTGCTGAATGCCTGTTCCCTTTGAAGCCCCCCCGGTGGCTGGGAAGGAGCACTTCTGTGTCAGGCAATGTGATGGGTGCTTTCCATCATAATGTGCTAAGAGCGCAGACTTTTAGTGGGGACTTGGGTTGAAAACCTGGCTTCACCCTTCCAACACGTGTCTGTGGACAAGTTCTGTAACCTTTGTGAGTCTCAGTGTGTGCATAAAGTACTTTGTGGACCGAAGGTGCTGTGCAAATTCTGGGTGATCAATTCATGAACCACATTTATAATATGACATTTTTTTAGAAATTAGTCAAAAGGATCCAAATAAAGTAATAAAATAAATGTAAGCTCGTGGTTTTTACAAGTAATTTAGAGATGTTTATTCACTGTAATCAATATGGCTGCTGATTCATATTCATAGAAAACAGTTGTGAGGGCTGTGATTTAGAAAAATGATTTCAACGTTAGTTATCTGACTAATGGGGAGGCTGAGAGCCACTCTGTCCTCCCATCTGCCTCTGGCTGTGTGCTGTCACCCTGAAAGGATCTGTCTTTGTGGCCCCTGAATGTAGTGAACCTAGCAACAGACCAACACCATGGAGACAAAGCAAACCGCGGTTGGGTGTGGCCCCAGACTGGTGAAACGTCCTGGCGTTGGCCGGTTAGCTATGATTCTGAAGTTCCTGGAACAAAATTAGACCATTTTATTTATTTTTTGTTCTTTGCTGAGGAGTCTCTTGTTCTCCTGAGAACAGATTTTTAGGTTTTGGGCATTTAATTTTCATTGAGAGGGCACAGAGGAAGACAAAATCCTACCACAACCAATGGTAACTTTTAAGAAGGCCTGACACAGACCTGTCGCAAAGCCTAAGTGCTTTCTAAGTGCAGAGACTCTGGGCTTAAATAGGGACCTCAAGAGGTCAGTTCTGTGTGTTTACGGGTCATTAACCGCCTGGAAATTTGGAGTAAGGGACCAGAAATGTAGAGTCTACTTGTTAGAAGTGGCTGTCGATGAATCGTCACTACCAAAGAAGGAGAAAATTGAGTCCTGGTCATCGGCCTCACAGGAAGGCCCTGGGCCCTGCTGGCACGGTCCAGACGGACATCCACCCTCCTCCTGAGACCCCTCAGGCCTTTCAAAGGTGCCCTTGGGTTTCTTCTGTGAGCCTTTCTGAAGACAGAAACCTGGGCTTCTTGTCTGATTGTTTCAGACTCTTAGGTGATTTGTTTTGTCTTCGTCAGGGTGAAGGATTTTATATTGCTCTGCCAAGCCACCTCTGGAGCTGTGAGCACTGGGATAAAAACTTTGTGTACTTCCACGGTTCCCGTTCTACAAATGTCGCCTTTCGTAGCCACACCCCATACGCTGACTTCTGAGCAGGCTCTCCCAGCGCCAAGTTTGTAGATTCCAGTCACCCAGTCACCACCCTTGCTATTGACCTTGCTGTAAGTTAGAAAAGGCCAGGGGTGGGGGCTGCATCGAAAGGGGGCTTTGAGGAGGGGCCATTAGAGCATTACTCGTATCAAAACCAACAGAAGGCAACTGTGGACCCTCCACACTTTATTCCTGGGGCCCCAGGACCCAGGACAAGGAAGACGTATTAAACACTCAACTTACAGTATAGACTTTGACATTTGTCCTAGGGCTGGGATGGTTCTGACATCAGCCACCTCACAGGACTGGCTGGGCTGAAACACAAGTAGAACGTAGCATCCTCCCATCTAGAAGGGTGTTTGGATGGCAGTTTTCAACCACAGGCTACTACTTAGTGGGATCAGAAATCAGCAATTATTTTATCACTAGTATCAACAGTTTGTTCCTGGGACCCAGCATGGTCAGCTAGTTGCTTCTTACTCCACGAGTGTCCTGGCATGGTCCACCTCCCTGGCACCTACATCCTCTGCAGCGGGCCCTCTCCCATTGCTTTTGTGGGGGGTGGGAGGTTTGTTCTCTTCCCTGGGCTGCCCACAGACTCTCTGCCGGGCTCATCCCGGTTCTCAGCATCTTAGCCTGTTGACTAGCTTCCTTCCTGCTAGGGAGGAGGCCTGGACATCCACCAGGGCACTCAGTCTGGAGGCAGAGGGGCAAAGGAGGGGCTGGAGAGGCAGCAGGGCAGGCACTGGTTTATTTTTACCGTACGGGGTTTATATGAGGTGCACCAGGCTAGCAGGGCAGCTCACCCTAACTGTGCCCAGCAGGGTCCATGTGTTAGGGCCTTTGGTCCGCAGTTTTAGTTGTCACTGTCATTATCACTGGCATGTGTTAGTTGAGACTCAAGACACAGGAGCTAAGTAACTTGCTCAAAATCCCACAGTGAGTGGCAGAGTCGGGAACTGGCCCAGATGGCTTAGTTCCAGAGCCCACATTCTTAGCCCCTTCTCTGTGTTCTCAGATGCTGACAACGAGCAGTCGAATGGCCCTGTGAGGCTAGGAAAATGCTCCCTGTGTCATTGCAGGTGTCTCTGGGCATTGCCTCAGGGACAGGCAATGCAAATGGTGCGTGTCCCAGTGCCCTGCTCTGGGAGATGTCACAGGGTTTGGGATGGTCACTAGCTCTAGAATCTTCCAGCTGGATCAGAATATTCAAACTCAAGTCTCAAAAGGAGGAAGCTATTTGATTAACTGGCTAGCATTCTCATCAGTGAAGTTGTTACTACCAGTAAAATCGTAATTGCTTTCCGTGACAAATCCCGTAAGTTCCCATAGTTGCTTATGTAGAACAGTTAAAAATTATTTTCTCCAAATAATTGAGCTCATAGAATTGTTATATCAATGTTTTTAAAAAGTGGTACAGCGAGAAAACAAACTATTAAAAGAAAGGCATTTCATTCTGTTTGAAAGTTGTTTTTGTGAACGTGAAATGCCCGCCATCAAAGCGTGGCGCTCTGTTCATCTTTTAAGTTTAAATCCCCTGTTTTCCTTCGTTTCCGTGTCCCCGCTGCCCACCCTCCCCGCAGCCCTTCCCGCAGAGCCCTAGCTCTGAAGCCCGTCGCGGGCAGCTGGGTGCGCACAGGCCGCGCTAAAGTGCTGCCAAGACTTGGGTCGCGGGCAGAGAATGGGGAGCTGGGGGGCTGTCAAATTTCAATGTGACTTCGTGGTCTCCTGAGACTTCTGGAGCCACCTTTGCAGAGAATTAGGCCAGGCGATTCTGCCGGAGATTCCCGTCTGGAGCCGGGACGTAGCCTAAGAAGGGCCGGGAAACGTGTCCCCAGGGCACGGCCAGGAGAGAGGCCGCAAACCGGGTGACCTTCTGATTGCCCCCGAGTGGTCCCGTCGCCTCTGCCCGCAGCCGGCGAGGTCAGGGGCCCTTCCGGCGCTTTGCCGCAGGACTTTTACTTTAAATTACTAGGGGCGCGTGCGTGGAGTCGGGTCCCTGTCCCAGGGAGGGGACCAGCTCTTCCGTGCGCCCTCGCGGCGCGGCGACGCCTGGACGCGGCAGACCCCGGGCTCCGAGACCCGAATCGGCGCCGAACTGCTCGCACCGGCCCTGGGAGCTCTCAGCCCCGCGGCCGCAGCGACCGGGCGAGGACGGGCGTCCGGAAGCCGGGCCCTCTCCGGGGACGCGTGAGCCGCACCGGCGGCAGGTGCTGCTGCGCGGGCGGAGTCCGCGGCCCAGGGGGGTCCGACCCGAGTTTGCGGGACTCACCCTGCCCCGCCCGCACTGGCTCCTCCCCCGGCGGACCCCGTCCCCGAGCCGACCGGGAGCCTCGCCTTCCGCGGCCTCTCAGCTCGCCCTCCTCCCGCAGACCAGGCGCGGGCGGGGCTGCCGGCGGGACTTTCTCGCCCCAGCGCTTTCCGGCGCGGGGCGGAGGGGCTGGGCGGCGACTGGCGGCGGCGGCGGAGCGGGGCGGGGCGCGCAGGGGCGGCCCCGGGCTCCTCTCCACCCCCCGGGGCCCGCGGCCACCTGCGCCCCGCCCCTGCGGCCGCGCCCGAGCCCGAGAACCGCGGCCGTCGGGCGCGAGCGCTCCTGGGCGATCGGGGCGCGGAGCCGTCGCGGGGACCGCCGCGCTCGTGGGCAGAGCCCCGCGCCGGGATGCGGCGGCGCTGAGCGGTGCCCCCGCGGACGCCCAGAGGCCGTGCGGAGAGTCCCCGCCGCGAGCGGGGCGGGCGCGTGGCCGGCAGGATGACCAACCCCGCGGCCGCGCAGAACAAGGAAATAGACTGTCTGAGTCCCGAGGCCCAGAGACTGGTAAGAGGGAACCCACTTCGGAACTTTCTTTCCGACTGCGAACGGTCCTGGTGGACTTTCTGATTGTTCTAAGGTCGAGGGCAGCCGGCACCTTAGTCCGTGCGGGAGGAGGTGCGGGGTGGGCGCCGCGGGGCCGGAACCCCGCAACTGGGCGTCCCAGCACCGGGTGCGGAGCGGGCTCTGCTCGCAGCTCGGCTGGTGGCCCAGGACCGGCGCCCCTCGGCGCTGGAAGGCACATTTTATTGTAGACGCCCCTTCCAAGGGCGAGAAGGAACGTGGTCTCTCCCCTCTGGCTGCGGGGACGGGCCCTTGACAGGCTCTGCCCAGCTGGTTGGCTCTGGCCGGAACTGCGCCGGTCTAGAATTTCACGCCGAGCTGCTTCGTTGGTATTTTACAAAGTACAGCGCCCGGGAACTGGTGCCCAGAGCCAGCACGCTCTCCCCCGGGCAGGGACACCAGTGGCTGGGGTGCTTTGGAGCACTTATCCTTCTCTGGACCTTAGGACCACCTCCCCAAGGACCCTGGACCCCACGTCCACTTTGGCTGGTCTCCCAGGGTCTTCCCACTCCGGACAGGATCCTGCACCTGGGGGACTTTGCGGTTACCCGGCTCGGCACCCAGTAGTGGGATCAAGGAGGTGGGGGTAGTTTGGCGTTAAAATTGGACAGAGAGGTGGGGAAGCTTTGTAACTACCCATGTTCATGCAGCTAGTTGTTGATTGTGAATGGAAGTATTTAAAAGTGAAAGGGGACACTTTGGAAAAGAAATATTTTATGGAGTTAGTACACAGAGAGCACCCACATTTCCACTTTATCCGATCTTCATGAGACCTTGATAAAAGTGTGAGCCCAAAACAATCGCTCCTTCATCGGGTGGAAATTAATCATCTTCCGGGTGTTTGTGAAAGATTCAAGATGAATAAGACTGCCCTGACTTTGGGAGCACTTACTAGGAAATGCCAGAGAGAAGTACAGAAGTAGATTCTGATGAATGCACACATGAAAATTCAGTTCCTTGCTTGTCAGGTGGTGGTGGGGTTTTCTTTTTTAATGTCCATTTTGCTGTGCTTTTTCTATGACCTCATCTGAAGTTCTGGCAGTGGGCCAGGCTTCTGGAGCTGGTTCCTCTCCTTTAGCCTAATTAGTTCCTAGGGTCCTGGAACCTGGAGGGAGACCCTTGAATTGCTATCAGGAAAGGGTTCTTGAAAGAAGGAAGGATGAGAATGCTACAGAGGAATGCTGGTGTTGCAGGGAGCAGCCTGGGCGAACCATAGATGGCAAGAACAGGGTGGATGTGAGGAGGAACTAACTGCTGGCTGAGAGTCCTTGGAGAAGCCAAGAGTAAACACTGAGATCTGGATGTGAGGAAGGGAGGAACAGGCCGATGGCAGGGATATGGAGAAGGCTGGTAACACCTAGCGTGTGCTAAGGCACTGGCTGCAATGTCTGCGACTAAAGGCGTGGTGCCTCCTGGGCGGGCCTCGGTTGACTGCTTGGTGGAGAGGCTGCCAGGAAGAAGTGAGAGGAGAGTCTGGACGGGATCCAGCCGAGGAGGTGCTTGACCGGCCCAGGCTCACTGCCCCTCACCCCCAATTCCAGAATCCAGTAAGCTCTGAAAACAGCAAGGTTTGTGTTTTGTTTTGTTTTTGTAAGTTTGTGGCAGAATTTTGGCAAAGAACTGTCCTGATGGGAGGCTATTTTTAGTCTTTATCCCTCTTAGTGTGAAGATTGATAGGTTCCTCCGCAACCTTGTTAATGTATTTGATTAAGGGCTGCTACTCTGGGTTGTACTGGAATGTATGGTGTATGCATCTTATTACTCTTACAAAATCTTTTTAGATGTTTTTACATCAAATTCTGAAACACGTTTGGTCCCAGGGTTTTCCAGTAAGAAACTGTGACTCTGTAGGAGCTTTTTTTAGTAAATAGTAGCAGAAACTTTATTAGAGTGGGCCATGGAGAGTAGAGGTAAAACATGGTCCCTGTTTGTGAGGTTAATGGTCTGGTTGGAAAGGAAATGTGCTGAATGACAGCCAGGCAGGGCTTGGGGGTGCCTTAGAAGTGGAGTCACCCAGCGCCGCCCTGGGCTGTCGATCGTGTATACCAGCTAGAGACCAGTAGCGGCTGTCTCAAACTGGTTTGTGCTAGTTTGTGTTCTGCCTTGTGTCCCTGGGTCCTGGGAACAGGGGTCTGCAGTGGAGAAGAGGGGCTGGAGGCTGCATCGGTGCGAGAGCAGAGCTGGGTCGCGGGAGGAAGTCGATTTGGCGAGCTCTGCCTCACTTAGCAAGACCAAAGCAGGATCTGAGCAGCTTCTTAAGCAAGTCCGTGCCCGCCCTGGAGCCGTAGGAGAGGATCAGCTACGACAGTGGAGAAACTGTGCGTTTCTTTAACTTTCGTAACTTCCCCACGCTTGTGAAGCGTTGTGTCACCCCTGGTCTCTTTGCACATACTGATCAGCGCTCAGCCCTCGCAAACGGTCACTTCCATCCCAAGGAGGGGCCGTCAGAGCACAATGGGGACACCATCTCCCAAGGCCCATCTCATTGTAGGCAACTGTGCCGGGGTCCCCGGGTCTCGGAGAGTGGGAGTGTTGACAAATGTGGGCATGGAGTCAGCATGAGGCGGCCAGCCCTGCTGTAGCTCAGTCTAGATGGTGAGCACTGGAGTCATATGGTTCGTTTCAGACGTGCATTTCCCCGTGCAGTTAAGAAGTAAAAATAGAAAGGTAGGTCTTTCCTAATAGTATTAAGAGTGCCCCACTGGGGCAAAGATGGAGACTAAATTTCCCTTTTTGAGAGTTAGTTTCTGTTCAGCCTGAACTGGTATCACACAGCAGAAACCTCTTTAGTGAGTTTCAGAAAACCCTGCAGCCTCAACTGCCACTTACGCTGAGCACAGGAAATCAAGTTATTTATAGATGCAAAATTGTTTTTCAGCGAAGTTGATTGGAGTATTACCTGATTAGTATGAGGTTCTCATCCAATCCCTGCTGAATTGTGAGACTAAATGTTGGTGCATTGTGTTTGCTCCTCAAAAGGCAATGTTCAAGAGGAATTCTTACGCCAAAAAAATCAGGCTGTGTGACTCAGCAAAGGAATTGTTTATGACTGGTTACTCATATGCCAGTGTTTCCAAAATGTTCATATTTAAAAGATTAATCTTGGAGCCCCAGAGTCCATACATAATGTTTAGATTACCAACCTGTTACCCCATCAATAGGCCCGTTACATCTCAGTGTATGTCAGACATGGGGTGGGGAGAAGAGGAATTTTTATTACCTTACTGTTTTTACTGGAGGCCACCCAAATTTTAGTTTGTTTTTTAAATAAAGAAGTTCATTTTTAGGGAATGGATTTACTAGAACTTTCATTATTCAGACTATCTAGATAAAATTAAATAAACTTGGTTCTTTCTCCCAAATTAAGCAAAGCATTGCAAGATTGAATAACTCAGAATTGCCATGTAAGTGATCACAGACCACCACTACAATCCCCCACCCCAGGTCAGACCCCAAAACAATAAACCGAACAAAAACACACCCAGCACCGCTGACATGTCTTCTGAGATTTGTTCATTCATTCATTTTGTGGAGGGCCAGTGTCTCCAGTGGTTTCTCCTTGATACTGTAACTTGACAACTTTAAAAACCAGGTAAGTAGTTTGAGCTTGAATCTAAATTACAACTACTTTGTAGTAGAGCAGTAAGGTTTACTTTTAATTTAAACCAAAATGTTGCATTTATGTGTTTGCCTAGTGGAGATTATCAAAGTAACATCATTTTGGATCCTCCCGTCTTTTTTATTTTCTGTGGCAAGTAGGTGCGTAATTTTCCTAGGGGAAGAGAAATAGGGAGTGGGCTTTGGTGTGAGTTGGGAATGTCCACCTGCCTCTGAAATTTCCTTGGTGGCACCTTTTCCCGCTGTTCTGCCGGGTGGGTGCCTTAGTGTGCTTGTCTTCTCATTGTGCTTCCAAAGTTAATGGGAACGGAGTTTATACTGTTAAATTAGTAGCTGTCACGGAAGATATCGTGCAAGTTGTAAAAGCAGCCAACATTTACTAAACCCCTCCTGAGTCAGGCCAGTAAGTGCTGTATACGGAAGTTTTCCCTGACCCTTGCCTTAACCTCATGGTGGGGGGAGGGTAGGTATTTTTGTTATCTCCAGTTTACAGATAAAGAGGACACTGAGGCTAGAAAAGTCAGGGGACTTTCCAGTCCCCACAGCTAGTAGGCAGTTCAGACCCAGGCCCGCTGACTTGGAAGCAGTGCTGATAACTGTCACCACTGTATACAGTGCTTAGGGCAGGGTCTAACAGGTAGATGTGCTGCTGTTGCTGTCGTCAGCATTTCCTCGCAGCCTGGGGTCTCACAGCCCCGCATGGGGGCCGAAGGATTTCCTGGCACTAAGGCAGCCTTTTAGGACCTGAGTCCTTGCTCCGAACGCATATCGAGAAGCCTTCATCCCATCAAACTTTTCTGTATCTGGTAGTTTTCAGATAAGAGCTCATGCAATGAATTTTATTTTTCTAGATAAGGAAAAGAAGAGTAGAAATGAAAGACTATAGAAACTTCTGTTGTGCTGTTTTTGTGCTATACTGGCATTTTAATTATTACTTAATGTCAACATACGTACACCCAGGAACCGCTCTGATTTAAGCCTTTTTTTCCTGTGTGTTGTGTAGCACCTCCCTCGTCCTCATCCCAGTAAACAAGTTCATTGAGGATAGAAACAACAGCTACCGTTTCTTTTATGGCCGGTTCCAGGAACGCTGACGGAATACAGGAAAGCACGCATCAGTAGTCGTGATGCCCAAGGCGGGAGCCCCTGGCACTGCCGGAGTGCTCAGCCCTGTTCTGAGCAGAAACAATTGAAATGTTTTTGTGAAACTTTAAACCCGAGGGGTTTATAGTTTATAGGACAACCTTGGGTGGAGCAGGCGGAGGTGAAGGGAGGGGAGTCCAGGTGCTGGCTGGAGGGACACCTGTCACCTGGAGAGAAGTAGC